TCGTCAGCGCCATTGTGTGGAGAAGCCCAGGGGGTGTGGAACCGGGGCCCGGGGCCCAGAGGCTCGCTCAGCCGGAAAGTAGAATTTAAACCTACGAGGTGAAACTTTCCTGGTCTCTGAAAGACACCGTCACACCCTGAGGTCGCCGGAAGCTCAGAAGGAAAACGCATCCATTCACTTCAACCCCGAAACATCGCCTCTGCTGAGAAGTGAGCAGTTCTGGGTTTCTGCAGGGCTGGGATGAGAGAGAGGGTAGGTGAGTGGGCAGGAGATTAGAAGTGTTCCTTTGGGCTCTCCTGGGGTTGCTTGGTTGACGATTTCCACGGGGGAAGAGACACAGCATCTTGTCACTTTGGGAGAACCGAGGGACAGCAGCCGGGTACCCTCGATGGTGGAAGCCGAGCTTTCTCCTGGGTTGGCGGTGTCTGGGGCCGAGCTCAAGCGTTCTCCGGTGGCGCTCAGCTCCGGAGCGATTCTGCCTCATTGGAAACAAAAAGAAGGTTGCATAGGCCAAGTACCGCGTTTGGGTGATCCCCGTTAGTGCGACCCACGCAGATGAACTAGGCCACACATTCTAGGAGCATGAGGCTCCAAGAGAACACCCAGAAAATAAGTTGATGGACAACTTTTTTCTCCCCTCAAATGTCTCCTTTGTTCACTATTATTTTCCAAACCAAGCTGGAAGGAGATCCCGGGAAGAGAAAGGGAGTTGGAGGAGTTCTCCAGTAACATTTCTTTATAAAGTGAGGATTGACAGCATGTTACTAAGTTATGGTACTGAAAATAGACAATAACAGGAATAATACTAGTAAAGTAACTGACAAGTATCTCCCCTCCTAATAGGACTTTTTTAAAGCAGAACTTTCTGCCTAGTCATGCCCTTTTTAATGCTTTAGAGAAAAATTATAGTTCTAAGGAAAAGGCACCTAATTGATACTAGCTGACTAACTAGCGGAATCACTAGGGAGAAGCCAGGAGGCAATGGATTGTTATTTTCCAGATTTTGTTATTTTCCAGTGACGGTTTCATCTTTGGGAAAATTGCACGATAGAAATTGGTCTTATCACTATGAGTTAGGATGCACCAGCCTTCTTGGGTGCAGTGTCATTCTGTCTCAGAATTTGGCTCCATAGGAGGGACTAGGCACTGAAAAAAATATAATTTTGCCTATGACATATCATCTGAGAAGATGCTTAAGAATAAAATATTTTCTATCTAGCAATCACGCATAAAACTAAAATAATTCATAAGAACTATAAAATTTGGATAAGTGTAGAAAAAGTCATCATTTGTAATTTAAGAAATTGTGCAGAGTCATCAATAAACTTTTCTAAAAGTATTTTTAAAATTATTTCCCAAAGCTTTAAAAAAGAAGAATCCCTTTAGAGTTGCTAGTGACGAAACTATATAGATGATTTCTAATGCCATAATTTTCTTGAAACGGAAGTTGACTTAAAATGTATATATATATATATATGTTTTAGTCTAGTCTAAAGGACTTGGTTTGCATTTCTCAAACTAAGAATATTAAGGGTTAGAGCCATTTGAGAAAAGTGCCATTTATCCATAGCAAATTTTCTTCAGGAATCTCCATCATAACCCTTTTCCTGCAGTTGACACTGGGAATATTAATTAAACAAAACTCTCTCCACTAAACTATTCTTTAAATTGCAGATTTGAGGTGAGAAAAACCGAAGTTGAAAAATCAGGGTATTTACAACTCTAGTATGTGGACATCTCCTTTTCCTCTGAAGCTGCTGCTTCTTGACTTTACCCTCTTTTTAAAATCTCCCCTGCCCCCAATTCTTTTCTGACTCCATGTATCACCCTTGCCAAAACATGCCACCCTGAGACTGTGATGGTTCATTCAGCTGCTTTCACATCGTCATCATTTCGCTGGAATGGGATGGGTTGGAGAGAGCGCCTCCCTGGGCAAACCGAGAACTGACAATACTGCATCTTCCTCCTAAATTCAAGGTCTCTATTAAGCACCTTCCAAATCTCATCATTTTCTAGGGCTTTCGTTGCATAGCAAAATCGCCCTTGGCTCTATCACAGTGCAGACATGTTGTATGTTTTCCTTCTTTTGTTTGTGTTCCAGACTAGACGGGAAGTTTGGTGGCGGAGAGGAGGGAAGAGAATGATCTGGTGATGGACCGTTCTAAATCGCATCCGTAGATTCTTCCTAGACAGCCATGAGCCAGCCACCGACCGGGGGCGCTGCCCCGGCCGCAGCCGCAGCTGCCGCCGCCCCCGGGGCCCCCGAGGCTCG